GCTAAATGGATGCACATTGAGGCGATACTCTTAAGTAAAATAAACAGGACACACATGTGTAAATACCAAATAGTTTCTCTAGTGTGAGAAACTGAAAATGTAAATATGGACTGAAAGGTATAATAGATAATGTGAAATAGGAAGAAAAGGGGCAAAGGGAAGGGGGTAGTGGGAGGGGGAGGGGAAAGGAAAGAAGGGAATGGAATTAATATGAGAAAATGGAAACAAAGTCTTTGTAAATAGGAAGGGATGGAGGGGTTGAAGGGAGGGTAGGGGAAGGGGGAAAAAAGAAAGTATGTAAAGGTGCATATCTCCAATGATGAATGTCATTATATTGTACACCTAAAATGTACCAATAAAATTATATGCAAAAAAATAAAAAAGAAAAGAACAAAAGAAAGGAGTAGACTCCCCTCCAAAGTGTAAGGCTGGGAACAAAGGAAGCAAAGACCTGAATCTTGTTTTCAGATGGAATGGCTTCACTCAGATGCATTATTGCAAAGTCTCAGAGCTTTCAATAGCTCATTTGAGAGGTTCCTGTTTTTTAGGTAATTCCAGTCTCAGATTTCACTTCTTCCCCAAGTTTAGTTTAGAAAGTGAAATTACCATTTCCTCCAGAGATGTTGAATAGTAGTATTTAAATAATTTACTCAGGTTCACATTGATAGCAATTATGTAGATGATGGTTTAACTATTTTTTGATACCTAGTCCTTGGTCTTTAGAACATATATATAACAAATGTAATCGTATTCACCCTAAGAAAAACCCCTAGTTTCCAGTTAATTTTTCATAGTGAAATGGACTTATAACTTTTTAAATCTGAACTGATAACAGACTCAACAGTCCTGTGTTCTCTGGCATTCTCAATGCCTTAAGCGAAATTTTGTATATTCACAGTTATTTTCATGAAATATTTTAATTCAATTTAATTTAACTTATCATTACCTTGGCATGGCTTCTACTGTTTTTAAATGTTTTATTTTCCAAGTATAATTGATTTCTACCAAGAATATAAAGGAAATAATATTTGATGATTGTCACTAAGCACCAAATGTCTCTGAATGGTTTTGTACCCATTTCATATCATAACAATATAATTTCAAGAAGATATTATAATTTAACATTCAATCAGCACAATTTTAACATCTATTGTGCAAACATCTGGATATACAAAGACAAAACATACTTGCTGCTCTGGTGGTATTCTTTTCAGTTAAGATAAGGCAAATAAAGTAAAATGTTGCAGATGTTATGATGCTGTAGTAAACATACATAATGCAATCATTCATTGAGTAAATGAAATTCTTGGCATAGTTCTAAGTACTAGAAAAATAACAAGGTAAGAAACATAAAAATGTCCTCCCTTGCAGTGCTGACTTTCTAATGGGGATTCTAAAGGGCATGAAGGATTGCTCACTGGGGAGTCACCAATGTTTCCATGTAGAAAGTGGCATTTCTTTCTGGATTTATTTAAAAGGGACAAACAAGCTCTAATTGACAAAGGAATATCTGCTACAAATCTTTATAAAATGATTGCGTGAACATTGAAAGTAGAGCTACTTTTCAATTTGTAACTGCATATACTTGAAGCAGTGCATTCTGTATGTTATCGGTGGCAGGTTTCCAGTTTTAGGGTCTTTTCTGGAGCTGGCTAGTTCCTAAAGCTGTCAGTTCTCTACATCTGCAGTACTCTGAAAGATAAATTCATTTACAGCTAAATAAGGTAGAATGGTACAATTCGTCTCTCTTAATTCAGTGGAAATGCCTTCAATTCTGTAGTGTACATTAGATCAGAACAGATTTTTCATTCTTAAATGGAAGGCTCTCAAGGAGGTCAAACTGGTTTTTCTATTTTTCAGTCTTTCAATATCAGTGTAATCTGGGTCTTATCTCTTATTCTTTCCTTGTGGAAAGATATTCACAAGTTCTCTATGCAATAAGTGTGGTGAACCATAAATTAAAAAAAAACATATCTTCATAAAATGGCATTCAGTTGTTTGAGAATAATTTCACAATGAACAAACATACATCCTCTTGTAGCCTCCAGTTTTGCTGTGTAGTAAAACAAGATAATCAATGAAAGTGGACTGCACTTCAAAAACATCAAATGCCAACATTTTTTGAACTCTTGCAATTGATTTTATTTATATTAACTTCAGAGAACAGGGAGCTACATATTAGCTTCAAATATTATTTCTCCTTCCACCACAATCTGTAACTAGACTTGTGAATATATGTTAGCAAAAGTAATTGTATTCTATGAAAACGCTCCTTGTAAGCCTGCTCACTGGTAAATATCTTTGTAGCCCATATCAAATGAATTGACTTGTTACCTAATTTCTTTTGTTATGAACTTTTTCTAAGCATGCTTTATTGAAACAATTTTTTTTATTTAACAAAGAGGTATTGGTAGTCAATACTCTTCTGGACTCCAAAGAAATTGACCTGTAAAACAGTCTGTATCAAAGGAAGATGAGAAATAATAAAGATCATTATTAGAGGTTGATAATGAAGATCATTACATTATGGACATATTTTATGAATAAGTTATACTTCCAACCTTTCCTTTTTTTTCAACATATTACCTTTCTACATTGTTTCTTAAAGTTTAAAATAATTGGAATAGAGTGTTTAAATGCAAATTCCTGGGCTCTACCATTAGAGGCCTGAAAATCACATTTTCATAGAGCCCAGGTTCTGGGAGAGATGGTGATGCTCAGACTTCCCTTGGACAAATCCTTCTGTGATCGCTCCCTAGTCAGGGCTCCATTGCCATCCCCTCATCCCTCCATCAGCTGTCCCAATGTCACATTCTGAAGTTCACATAACAGAATATTTCTAGTAAAAAAAAAAGATCTCAATAAACATCTAATGACACAGCAGCAGAGCCTCTATTCTTAAAAGAGTTCTCTCCTGTTACATGTTTTCCCCTCACATTCAAGATACCCCATGGGGAGCTTGGATTTTTGAGTCAGAAAGGTGAGGCATCTAATTCTTGCCTGTTATTTACTTGCTTGATGATTTGTAACTGTTTGCTTTCCTTAATTAATTCTCAGCTATTCTTTAAAATGGATAAGTTTTGATAATAGTAAATGAGATAATTAAGCAAAGTGTTCGAAGCTGGAAAATAGCAATTTCTCAACAAATCAGTACCTGTTATAGTTTTAGTAGTAATAAACAATAAAATAGAAAAACATCTAGACAATACTTCTGGCAGAAAGAGTACATTATTAACATTTAATTAATTTGACTCTTTTCCATGTGACAGGAAGATTTAAATACATAATTTTGCTTTTGTCAAGTGACAGAAAAAAGAAAACTGTCGGACCCGGGATTTAGCTCAGTGGTTCTGCCGCCTGTCTCGCAAGCGCAAGGTCGCAAGTTCAATTCCTCAGTACCAAAAAAGAAAACTGTCAATGACAAATCCTTTTTGTCTCCAGTGGTCTATCTGGTTTATAACTTAGAATTGTGACTGTGAAATGTTTGTTTTGCTCCTTTGTGGGTGTCTCTTCTGAGATGGCCTCATTTATCTTCACCAGGTGATCGACTCAGTGCACATCACCTGCTGGCTGCGGCATCCTGCCTAAGGGAGAGCGCTGAACTCTTTCAGTCAGAGGAAATGCGACCTGCCAATGATCCCAAGGAGAGAGCCCCCATCCGCGTCCGGATGCTGAATGACATCCTCCAAGACATGGAGAAGAGCTTCTTGGTGAGGCAGGTGCCACCAGGCTTTTACAGGTGGGATATGTGTCTTCAAGTGTAGACTTTTTATCCTCAATTGATTATTTTTAACATTTAGTATATATCTTCTGTGACTATAAAACTATTTAAGAAGAAAATATAAAGCATGTACTATATCGCCAATTTGAGGACCATCCTTCCCCCAAAGTTCAAGAGTGTGTGTGTGTGTGTGTGTGTGTGTGTGTGTGTGTGTGTGTGTATAAACAAAGAAACTTTGTTTAGCAGTCCCACATAGAAAAGTACTGGTTTTTACATTAATTTCATTTTGAGTCAAATGTGATACAGTTACTGCAAAAAGGTGAATGAAATTAACAAGTGATTCTTTCCTGCTAGTAATATGATCACAGTATATCTTGAATGCTAGTGGTGCAAGCCTCAACATGCTGATTATGATAATGTTCTAACTCATATAGCATACTTTTAGTACTGTACTAAACTTTTACTATAGTTATTAAAAGTGTACATAGACCCATTCTTTTCCTTAGCTCAAATGTGAAGGAAATAAATGTTCAGCTTTGTAAGAAAATGTCAAACTATCCGTCAAAGTGGCTGTACCATTCTGCATTACTATGAGAAATGAATGTGATTTTCTGTGGCTCCACATCCTCATCAACACTTCTTGTTGATGATAATTTTGATACTAGCTACTCTAGTAGGTATATAGTGGTATTTTGTCCTTGATATTTGCAATTCCGTAATGACATATCATTAAGCATCTTTTCACCTGCTGAGTTTCCATCCATATATTCTTTGCAATAAGACATATATTTAGATCTTTTGCCTATTTTTAAAACTGAGATTTTTCTTTCTGTTGGGTTTTAAGAGTCCTTTCTATATTTTGAATACTAGTTCTCTAACAGATATGTGTTTCATAAAGATTTTCTCCTGGTTTGTGGTTTGTCTTTTCATTTAGTTAACTGTGTCTTATACAGCAGAAGTTTTAATTTTAGTGAATTCCAGCTTTCTAATTTTTCTTTCATATATTGTGCTTTTAAAATATTTTTTATATCTATAAGTGATTATCAAGGTCACCTAAATTTTCTCCTACGAAATCATGTAGTAGCTTCATAGTTTTACATTTTACATGTAGGTATATCATACATTGTGTGTTATTTCATTGTGAAAGGTATAAAGTTGAGCTCTAGGATACTTTTTATAATATATATGTATATGCAAAAATGTCCAGTTGTTCCAGAATTGTTTAACTACTATCATTTCTCTACTCTCCTTCTTTGTCATGCAATGTGTTTTTAACATTGCCTTGTACTGCCTGCATCTTACTTATGGACAATAGAATAGCCTTCAGAATCAATAGTATCATGTGAAAATGATACTGTAGATAAAATACTAGACTTGAGAGTTTCCAGACGGTGAAGAAGCAAATTGAGGAGCACAATTTTCTTTTTCCTTCTAAGATGACCAGCAGCATCTGAGCATCAGCTTCTCATCTGTAAAATATATAATCTCAAAGAGATGTAAGTATTAGGGTAAAAATTGATTAAATGGGGATAAAATGTAAGCAGAAAATTTATAAACTATTCATTCCTACACAAACATTATAAAATAAAAATGATTTTATATTATTATGCTGCTTTTACTTTAGACTATGATAATGTTTTAATTTCCAAAGCCTCCTCCTCATATCATTAAGGGAAAAATATTTTTAAATTAAGTGACAAAATTTTTGTCCCTCTGGATCACTTGGGTATCTTTCATTTTAATTTTTAAATATATAGTCATTTCTCTTAATAAACATTTGCTCATTGTTTGACAATGAGGGACCTGAAATATCCTATAGAAAAATAAAGAGTTTAGGGCAAGAGAATGAAATTATATATGCAGTTAAAATTTGGTAAATAAAACATCCAAATGACACTAACTTCCACAATAAATGAGGGCACTGCAAATGACAACATTCTGCAGCAAAAAATAAATTTCTCAAACCACTGTTTTAAGTGTCCAGGAAATGTAGTAATGACAGTGGTCTTTGGGACAGATATTCCTACATACGTTAGGATTTGAAATTTGAACTACTTTTCTAGATTTTGGGACCAACCATTTTGTGATTGGAATTTATTATTTTGTGTATGCATTCTTCCTTGCTTATTTCAGCAAATTTCAGTGAGATTCTTGGCCTTATTATTATTCCAATATTTAAGGACAAGAGTTCTCAAGCCTGCTATTGTATCCCAGTAAATTCCTTCACTCATCCATACATGAGTCTACATATTCTTAAAAATAGAAGAGCACTACGTACAATGTCACCATTTGCTTTATTTTAAATGGCTGGTCATAGACATAAAAAGATCTATGATTTTTAAATTTTAGTCTACAAGTTGAAAACCATGGGATTGCAAAACTGCTGCTGAGGAAAATTACTAGGAAAAATTTTCTATTAATGGGCACCTCGAATATATGAGTGCAAGATATATCAACCTTACCTAACATTCATACAGTAATATAGAATAGTTGCATAATATTCCACAAATAGAACACATTTAAAGGGGTAGTACTTAAACAGATAAAGTTAATCACAGTTTTCATCTTCATTCTGATATATGTGGGCACACACGCACACTTATGTATCCTGCAGCACTAATTAGGCAAGATTTTAAAGAAATTTTTCTTAAGGGTTAGAAATTTGTTGTAGGTTTAAAGAGGAGAATTAGAGATCAACCATTGCATTTGTATTGTAACAGATTTGATTTGAATGATGCAGGAAAATGTGAGTAAAGCAAAAATAAGGGAATGTCTCATGTGGGCTGCCAAGTAGAAATAAGAGTCTCAGGAAAAGGGAACATCTTCAAGCTCTATCATTTAAAAGTGAATTAAAGGCTAATTGTTTTTTTAAAGGAAATATAGTGATTATATTGCAGTATTTTCCCATTGAGGTTTAAGTGGACTACAGAGGCTACCTACGCAACTATATAGTGTCTCTAATAATATGTCTTTGGAAGGATATATCTGAGTATGAAACAATGGCCATAATTAGAAATTAAGGGAATGCAGCCTTCTTGTAAGTTAAGGAGAAGTATGTGCGTACCTGTACATATGTGTATGTCAAAAGCTTTGTGTCCTTATGAAAGATATCATAGTGAAGTTATAATAAAGGATGTTCTTTTGGAGATAGTCAGAATGGCCTTGTGGAAGTTCAAAGGACCATTTCAAGGTAGTCCAAATCGAGACAATATTTTATCAGCATCCTTGAAAGCAGGAAAATAGCAGTGTAAATGTCAAGAAGTGTCTGCCCTGAACCAAGGATAAACAGACCAAGCCTTCCATTAAGAGTAGTTTTCAAACATGTAACCTTCCAAACATTTTTTTTTGAAAAGTGTTAGAACTTTTAGGCAAGCAAAGACATTATGCAGAATTATTACAAATAATTCTCAAATACCCTTTGATCAGATTTCCAACTATATATTTAGAACACACATTTAATTTCAAGAATTTAAAGATTTTGAAACAATAGTTAGAATAACAGCGATCTCATTGTACAGTTTTTGTGGTGTTTCAATTAGAGTTAGTTATATAAGTACTAATAAAGCCTCATGTTCAGTATTTGATTGGAATAATGACTACTTTGTTTGAGTTGTACTTTTTCTTTTAGCGAAGTGTAGGTGGTCTGAATGAAACTAAAATCCCACCATTGTTGCTCTTGTCATTAATTCTACCAGCAATGCCTCTGATTTCTTTAGACTGTGGAAAAATAACTAGTGATTAAGAATTATCATAATGCTTTTAAAATATTTTAATAGCACCATTTGCACAAAAGAATCTATGTATGAATCTACACAATATAAACCCTCCAAAAGGGGGCTGAAAATCTGGCTAATACACAAAATCTTTATATTGTTGATCATTATATACATTCATTTTTACATCTTTATGAGTAAAGGTGTATATTAGCTTCATAATTATGTATCCTTTGCATGTTTTTAAGGTTTCTACTTCTAAAAGGAGCAAAAAATCTTCTAAATTTCAAGAGAAAATTAACATGCCAAATTCGAGCTTCACTTTTTAATCACTCATTTTGTTAACATTGAAACAGTGTTTCCCATTGTTACAAACAACATCCACAAGCAATTTGGTGAAACATTTGACAGCTTGTTTAAAAAATTTCTATTGACAACCATTAGTTTATAAGGATAATTAGCCTGTGATCCAGTGTCCTAATATCAAAATATAAATCCATGTACAAACTCTGTTTGGATTCTGTAAAAAAAAAAAGTCTCTTTCAAGTTTGAGGATTCTTTCTGTTTAAATTGTGGGGAATATATTATATTGTTATATTTGCATGTCAAGAAACATTGGCATTCTGAGGGAAAGTTGTGACCTGATATATTTAATATTGAAACTAATAATAACAATCCTTGTCACAAAGGAGGACTTACTTTGTACCAGGCACTCTACTGTACATTTATATGCTACCTGTAATGCTTCTAACAATCCTGTCAGATTGACTTTACTTTTCTCTTTATTCAAATAGGAAAATGGAGGCTTAGGGAAAATTAGTGTGTGGCAGAAGTGAGATTTAAACCTGGCTTGTTTTCTCTAGAATCATGCTCTTTCTAGTAGACAATGCCACAGACATTTGATCTAAATTATCCCTAGTTTGCTTGGAAGTCACTAATGAACTTAGCTAGAGTTTTGTGTTAATATAATACCAGATCATGTAATAGAAAATCAAATATCAAATAAGTTCAATTTTCATATGTGTTTCTTAAATTTTATTTGTTCTACCATTCAGAATTATATCTTCTGATCATTAGACTGCAAAAATACATCTGTGAGCCACCACATCTTTCCCTGGTCTTGGAAAAAATTTGCTCTGTTATCCCAAACCAATCAAATATCCCAAATATTGCCTGTGTATTCATGTTTCTATAAGTCTTAGATCAAATTAAAAGGTGAAGGATATTTCTTTGCTAAATCACATAACTAATTGTTAGATACACTTTTACATAAATAACAAGGTGGTGTAGAGGATCGCTATTCTG